CAGCTACTGAAAACACACAATTTACAAACTCCCCAAAGGACCCCCAAAATCCATGTAAAACCCCACAAAAGTTACATTCTCGGATATCCCCAATCTGGGTGACTGACATACCAACAAATCCAAAAAATGACCCAGATTGGTTCAGGGGTTCGGGTTTTCCACGGAACTCACTTTTTTGACTGACTGCATACATGGCTCCTGCCCAAAATAGTTCCATGAAATCAGTGCTAGCAGTCGGTCTCTTTCGGGAGTGCAAAACTGAATAAAATACCGAACATAATCCATAATTACAATGTGTAGCTTGTTCACTTCATCCATGCAAATGATTCCACCGAACAGTACCCTTCCAGGTTGTGTAGAAACAAATACAGGCAATGATGGAAGTCCAGCAATGTTTGGGAGTTTCAGTGTCCGATTTTAGTTCCATGAGCTCGACACCCAAACACCGCTGCCTGCGTTCACAGGAACAAGATGGCTGCCACCTCGTGGTTGTTCATACAAACTGTGGCCACCCAGACGCACATTTAGAACACTGAGGTGGAAATTGCTACTAGGTGTCAATTGGGCTTAACCGGTTGTTCGGTTCCCGAATGGTGTAGGGAAATTACACGAACCAAGCCATCTAAATTGCATTTTACAATTCTTTCTGCAGGGCCCATAGTCCTGAGGCAGAAGGCTGGCAAGCAGGTTCCTCCAGAATTAGCATAGTAAGGTTTTACTCTGCTTACTGAATACCAGTTTTGCCATGGACTTCAATGGAGTAATTGCTATTCAGTAAGCAGTTAGACTTTTTTCTGTTAGGAGAATTCAATCCATAATCTTTAAAACAGGTTTACTTTGCTATAACTGTACACATCAGTTTATGCCACAATGGGACTTATTTAGTGGGTATCTATACATCAGTATATCCACCTACGAAATCAGCTGATGCTCGCAGTATTGAACTTCCATCCCGCCACATACATAGTGAGTTAAATGAGAAAAAAGCTCACTGTACCTCCTGGTCAAAGAGGTGCCCTGTAGAAATGGAGTTGGGTACATCCATTAGAACGCCTGTGTTTATGAGTTTCCTTAGGAGATATAATAAAAATTCTTATGAAGTTATTTGTTTTTGTTTTTTTGTGCACTCAGACTCCCCCTACTCTTGGGCGGCAGCAATGACCATAGTACACATCAGCCCCAATTCATACAATAAAAACCAAATAAAAGAGTCTTCTGTGCACTCTCCCAAATCCCTCTGCATATTTAGACAGATGTTTTTTTTTTTTTATTCTCTCCAATGGCCAGGAGTAGTGGGAGTCAGACTTATTTTTGTGTATTTGTTACAATGCTGCCGCCCACCCCATGTGTTCCCTTTTAAGGGTTAATAAGTTGCGGATTAGAAAAATACCCCTTTGCGTCTCATTCGAGATTTTTTTGCCTGAAGCGGAAGGAAGCAAGGAGAATTGTTAGTGTTGGACCCACCTAAGAAGTTTGTCTTGACGTGGCAGGTGGGCTTACACCCAATGGTCATTGGAGTGAAGCAAAAAACCTCCATTTGTCTAAATATACATAGATTTGGGCTAGTGCGTAGGTTACTCTATTCTTCGTTTTTTATTGTAATTTAGCTTAACATGTTTATGTATTACCCAGAGGTGACAATTTGATACAATATAGTTTTCATAGTGGACACAGAATGCAAATCAGTCCTTTTTGCAAGTAAAAGCCCTGGTGAGCATTGTTGAACTCTCGCTGTCCTTTCACAAAATAAAATGAAAGTAAAGTCTATCCTTACTCAGGGCCAGATTTGCCACAAGGCAACAGAAACACCATAACTTCTAAAGTGGGCCGCAGTTGTTATGGTAAAACCAGAACAATGAGTGAGCGCTAGATAACACAGATTAGCAGCAACCCTATAAGGGAATCCCTCAAGAACCTTAAAACAAAACACAGAAAGGTAAAAAATACAGAAAAAGGTTGCGCTTGGATAAAACTTTAAATAATACGAAAAGTCCAGATAAAATCAATGGATAAAAAGAGAGAGTCTTATCTGGCAATGTCCGTTGGAATCGTATTATGTAATGGTACTTGGTCCGAAACAGTAGTCTTGCTTGTTATCTTCCTTATGGACCGTCTCATATGCAAGAAATAACAACAAATACAGAGCCGAAATAGTGTAGTATATCTAAATAAAAAGGAAGTTGAAATGTAATACTTGATTGCAAACTCACATTTAAAAGAGCTAGAACCCGCTCTGGTATAGAGGGCATACAGTGGTTTAGATCCCCGCTTGTAGGATATGGGATGAATTTCCTTCGCGTACTTCCTCCTTCCGTAATATGAAAGACACTCAAATAAAAAGAGACAGCCAATAGTGTTCTCTGTGTAAAACTTTGAATAAAATAAGTGAAAATAAAAGTGGATACTCACAAGACAGGAGCAGGTCAACTGCTCCTGGTAGTTCGCGTTGGTGGTATAATCCCCACCTAGGATTGCTTGGAGTCCAGCGAATAAAAAGAGATAATGCCAGGTAACAATAATAAATATATGTGTATAAAAAGATAAATGGTATGATAAAAGGTTACCAAATATACTTTAATATTTAAAATTACACAATATAAAAACCATAAACGCGTTTCGCCAATCGGCGTTATCAATATGGGTAAAGAACCTGATACCTGGCAGTGGATCCTTTAAATAGCATGTACAGACATTCAAAGATTGGCGCCAAAATTTGGGCAGCCAATCAGGATTCAAGTGAGAATACATATAGTTAAAATATAATTAAAACAAGTGTGGTATGATATATTTAAAACAAGATAAGAATAAATATTTGGGAAATCTAATTTTATATTAAAAACGAACTGTGCATAATGTAAAATAAATACGGTGATGCACGGTCACATGACCGGCATCACGACCGAAGGGGGTTCTGGGACGTGTAGTATGATGC